TTGTTTCTTTATAAACTAACGTTACCATTGCCTTTACCATTACCGACCAGAACTTAAACTTTCGCCTATCATGACGAATGGTTGTTCTCTCAAGGAGGGTCCTTATCCTGAACGCCTATAGGGACAAATTCACTTTAGATCTCGTGGAACTCGTATATACGAACAATCGTTAAAGATGCTGGAAAATGTAGTCTGTTCGTTGTACATTCTCAGGAATTACTAGCTCCTCCAGCTATCCTTTTTCTTGATAAGAGACAGATCAAACTAAAATAGAGTACGGATGGTATATCGGGACTGGAACTGCCTACTATTGATACAATTCAGAAGCGCCTTTACTGTTTGGTGAGTGATTAATTCTTTTCTACTCTACAACACCTATCCCACAGACTAAACTTTGCAAGTCTTTCTACTCTATCGCTAGTTTCATAGAAAATGTTCGGAACAGCTAAATTTCTTAGTTCTTAGGGATTATATTATTGTTATAAATAAATAAAAATAAAATATAAAAGTAATAATAATAATAATAAATTATAATAAAATAAGACAATAACATAAAAATCTTGTATAAAATAAACGAAATAAAAATTCTAAATAATAAAAAATACTCCCAGCATGCAACAAAAACTCTTCCTGCTGGAAGTGCGAACGTCCCGCCAAAAGACGTTAAATTCAAACGAACCTTGATACGGGCAACATGTATCCGATTTGTCTCTGCGATATGGCATCCAATAACACGGAGTAATTTTGCCCTTTTATCACATGTACCATAAAACAATGGCAACCCAAAAATGTAAACAGCAATACACACAAAAATATAAATTGTATGAAAGTAACATACAATTTACAATGCTTTTCTTGTTATTTCTGCATGTTTTATTTTCTGTCAAGTATGTTTTTGTCTTCGTGAACACGAAGCCAATTTCTGCTGCTATGATGTGAATGAATCCCCCATAGTTCCACCAGTTCAGGCTTTCAAAGTTAAGACTCTTCATGCCATTTACACTGGAATCAATCATCTTTATTCCTTTTGTATTCCATTAGTAAGCAGGAGGTTCTACTTGGACAGATTATTCCCAGGAACCGCTGCTTTGTGGAACAGTGACGTTCCACCATCACAGGACCGATCTCAATGAACGGATGTTCACTCAGGGAGGCCACGTGCCTTAAGGGCTTATCGGGATTTAAAATCAACCCAGAGGAACTCATTCATAAATGCATCGCTACAAATGCTGGAAAAAAGGATCATTTCCCTGTAACTCGTAAATACCTGACTCCTCTTTTATCCCCTACCTTTACAAGAGCCAGATCAGGCTGAAAATGGAGTACTGCTGCCGTAGATGGGCGGGGGCTGTCTAGTCTTTATTTTCTAGTTTCGATAGAATTCAAAAGCCTCTCCGCGACCTTGTGGATGATGAATTATTTTTTCACCCTACAATCCATTTCTCACAGCAGAGACGTCATAAGTCTGTCGATGCTCTATCGCCATTTTCGTGGATAGTGTTCAGATGATCTACACTCTTTTGTTTCACTAGTCTTAACCTTCAAAGCTAAAACCCGCCATGCTACGTACATTGTAGCGAGCCCCCCACCAATTCCCTTCGTATTCCATTGGTGAGATGTAAATTCCACTCAAACAGCTTCTTCCCACTAACCGCTTTTTTGTGGAACTAACTTCCAAGGTGATGTTTTCCCGGTCACTACAATATTAACCTGTTTTGGACTGTTATCTTTTGCACATACCCACATTAACTCTGCCTCTTATACTGTAACTCTCTACATCGAGTGGCTCTTGGTCCTTGTACAGGGTGAATATCTTTGTAAAAAGAAGACTTCCGAGAAAATGCTTTCCCAATCACTACAATCTTTTAGTCTAAGTTACCTGTTATCTTTTCTACATGTCTTTTTAAACAGCTATTTTTACCTCGTCTTTTTACGTGCATCAACCTCAAACAGTAATCCTCTAGCTTGAATGGCTCACAGGACTAGTACTGGGTAAAAAATTGGTAAAAAAGAAAAGCTGGCTCAGCTTAAAAGGGGTGATATTCAACTGCCTCCTCATATTCTGAACCAACAGGAGTGGCGCCAGATAAATGACGTCACACCCTACGGGAATAAGAACGCGGACGGCAACACACCATCGTTGTTCCAATTTACTAAGACGTGTTGTCTTTCGCTTCATTTATTCAATTCCCAAAACAATTATATTGCTTTCTGATAACTAACCTATAAAAGGAAGATATTTAATCTTATTTTTAACTATAATTTTATTTTTACTCATTTCCACACCGACATAACATTGCTTCCCAGTGACTTTTCGATAAATACTTTTATGTAGGTACCTCCACAAATTGGCTGATAAAAGAGCATACCATGATGAAAAAAGCGCCCAAAACTTCATAAGAACGAAAAGTTTTAGCGTCAAAATCTTTGTCTCGTCATTAAAAGGAAAGAGCAGAGTATTTTTGATTATTTAAATAATTTTTAAAATTCTTTCTAGCACGTTCGAAATTTTGTTTTTCTTGCGTCAACGGGGGGACCAAAGATTAGCATAGGAAATTTTAGCGCCTTCTTTATTGTAAAAACACATTGATTTGGGAATTCTTGCAAAAATCATGTATTTGTCGGATTTTAATGAAACCTTTAGGACTTATTTACAAATAAATGAAATTGTTTTAGAAAGTTGTTTTTTTAAGAAAATCTTAGTAAAAAAAAAAATATATTTTTACATCTGTTACCCACCACTTAACGAAATTAATGAAATTTCGAGAAATTAAATTTTCACTTCATTATTATTTATATTAGTTAAACGCAGAACTCCTTTGAGAATTTAAATCATCAATTTGTTTTTGCCAAACAAAAAAAACAAACATTTACCGAAAATCTACTCTGAATTGTAAAATAAAAAAGAAGTATTAGGTTGGTGCAAAAATAATGTTTTTTGACGTTAAGTGGAACGTCAAAAAACGACATTATTTTTGCACCAACCAAATAATAAAACTAAGACATTATTTAATTAGAAAAGTTTTTAATTGCTTTTATAAATGAGATAAATTAAGGATACTATTGTCTGAAGAAAACAAATATTTTTGATGAATAACGAATTTTTACAAGAATTGTTTTCATTTTTTTTAAAATTTTATTTAGAATAATTTAAAATTATGCCTTAATTTCACCATTTTACATGCTATTATTAAATAAAAAGTATATTTATTAATTATTAATTGTTTAAGCTCAGTAAAATTCTTCAAACACTAATAGTTTATTGGTAGAACTATATGCATTTCTCTGTTCGGCCTACCATTGTGGACTTGTTATGATGACAATCTGAGCTGTCTACATCAGCGTTCGTCATCTCATAAACTGACGTTACTTACCGGCCGTCAAGTGACCCACGTAGATTCTTTTTACCCAAAAGAAGATAATCGCCCTTAGAAAACAAATTCGTTGGTGTAGCGATTTCAAACCATACTCGGTGTCACTTTATAATGTCTTTCTTCAAACTTTACAGCGACGTGATCCCCAGAGTACTAGAATCATTGGGCAAAATCTTAACAAGATATCAGACAATATTGATTGCCGATGTAGCGATATCAGTGTCAGCTGATATCTTGTTAAACGAAACTCAGCGGACCTGTCAAAAAAATGGTTTCGGACATTTATTTTTTCGATCATTATCAGCTAACTGAAGTGAACTTTCCAAGTACATGGCAAGCTACTCGGACAAAGAGAATCATTGAATAAAGATAAATTACTTTTTTAGGCAAAAATGACAAAACAAAGAACAATGCTCTCTATAAGACAGTGGCCACTACCTGCGAAAAAGTAACTGAGAACAACTCGAAAGGGAAGACGCCCGTTAGACTGTTCACCTCACCTACGCCTCATCTCGGCTTCGGTCGTCTGTAGCAGTGGATAACTACCTGAAAATAAAATCTGCTTACTGCTATATATTCTCATGGTCTTCATTCGTGGATGACGAACTGACCAAACGGTTATTTTAAGCCACAAGAGTTTGAAGAAGATGCACTCTGAAAACGATCTGGGGTCTGGACTGAGTTGCAATGTTACACAGGTATGGAAAGAAAACTGAACGAACCCCTAAAGAGAGTAGCAAATGAAAAGTGAGAAGAATAGAAAAAGGACAAGAAGAAATTAAATCCCTAAAAGTACATGTAATAAGAACATGATAAGAGATAATGAAAGAAATAAAAAAAAACTTTTATGAAACTACAAACGTTCATAAGAAAGTTTCTGGCATTTTCACTCAGAACTTAAGGACATTTGTGGCATTTGGTTCGCTTTCGGCATTTGCAGGTCATTTCTTTAGAAACTTATCACTAGAAGTCTGTTTCTATCTTGATTTCAAAATGCCACGCAATTTTCGTTGGACAAAGCAGCCGCAAGAATTGCACTTAATTTTTGTGAGTGGTATTTTGTGGGGGTCCCGCTCAACTGGAAGACCTTAGCTCTGCTTCAAGGATGTCTGCAAACGAGACATGAAGCTGGCCGACATCGACCCCAACACCTGCAAGGCCGCGGCTGACGATCGTCAGCTTTGGAGAGCCACAGTCAGTGACGGCGTCACGATTGCAAAAAACGCGAAGGAAGATCAGCAGACAGCAAAGAGAGCCAGGAGAAAAGCAAGGACAACCTCCGTCTCCGTGTCATCCAGTTTTATCTGCACCAAGTGCCTGAGAGACTGCCGCTCCAGAGTTGGACTACACAATCACCAGAGGCGATATAACTCCATCGCCTAGATTTTTTGGGGAAAAAAAGCGCTACACCATCGTCTCCCGAGACGGACGGATGCCGAGGACGACGATTTTCCCCACAAAGTCGTGCACTTTTTTTTTCATATGGCCAGATCTTCTTTGATCTCGCTCGTGGAGGCAACCTCCAATACACTTTCCTCCTTGGCTAGTTCCTTTACCCGCTCCGTGTTTTGATGCTTCTGAAGCAGCTAAAGTTCCTTAGTTGTTGGCTCCTCTCTGTGCTCGACGATGAGCTCGTCAACGTCGTCGACGTCAACCTCGGGACCCAAAGACTTGCCAGGGGAAAAGGAGGCAATCTATAGCGTTGGTAGGTGAGGTTATCTGTGATAAGTACTTTTTCTCCAATAAAATGAATAAATATTCTGGACGTCAGGCGTTCACAGCTGCACTTCACCTTGCCTTTGACCGTGTTGTTTCTTAGAAATAGATGACGTCATGCTTCCCTTTACCCCAGCCATCCGCTGCTTCCGTGTATATGACGATTGCCCGAACTGTGAATTTTTACTCGTACTACGATACAAAATTGATCACGAATGGCAGCTCGTAATGCAAGTTGCTCGTATATTACGAGGTCTTGTACTGTTTTTTTTTAGCTAGTTTTAAAAAAATGAAAGCAAATGGTGATTTTCAGAGTTGGAATGCCCTTTCAATTTGGTAATTTCAATTCAACTGACCTTGTGCCTGACTAAACTAAGCTTAGTGAATATCTATCAAAACTTGTAGAGGTCGAAATATTTTAGTACTTTTTGTGTGGAGTAAAGTAAAACCAGGAAACAAGAAATGCTTAAATAACCAAACGCTTTCAAGATGTCAATACCGATTGAAGTCAAAGCGAAAGTCTTCGTTTAATGCCGTCCAGAACTAAGTATTCTTTTCTTATCTCTCTTTTTAGTTGCCATAAAATAGACTCGCACATGCTTACTCCTATATATTCAAATTTATCTACACATAGAAGTCTTTTTTTTTGTTCTACACAGATATGAGTGCTTACAAAAATGAAGAGAAAATGAATCGCTGAAATTTCCTTCTGTCAGTCAGACATTTTTCTCATTTGCCTCTCAATTTCTTTCTTTCTTTCTTCTATCTATCTATCTATCTATCTATCTATCTATCTATCTATCTATCTATCTATCTGTTTGTCTGTCTTCCAGTCTGTCTGTTTCAGTTTGTTCATACGTTACATTCTCTGCTTATCTATTTATATATATCACAGTCATACATGCAATGCAAGCAAAATTATAACTATATGGTGAGTAATTGAATGATAAAATGGAAAATTCTATGTAACGCCTCTCATTGTTCAGAAGGATTTCATCAGACTAAAATAATATTCTTAGTGATGGAATTATATATATATATATATATATATATATATATATATATATATATGGAGGAGACGAAAATATGCACAAAAAATCGGTTAAAATTATACATCAAGAAGAATTCTGAAAATATCTTCTTCTGTATACCGTGTCCCTTCAGGAGGTTGGTGTTCATGGTTCTCCACAATTTCCTGTCTTTTGTAGCACCTAATAGATTTTGTCTTTTTTGTTATCTCTCCTAAACACTGTTCTGCCATCCATTTACACAAGCGCGCCAGGTAGGCTATGCATTGTTTCCTATGTTCCTGTTAGCTTGAATCTGCCCTGTGAATATCAAATTTCCCAAGTTCCTCATTATGTGCCATAGAAATTTCAACTCTCCTTTTATGACGTTAAGTAGAAGTGTCCTTTTTGTTTCTGTTTTCTCTAAAACTTTGTCATTGCTCACATGTTCGGTCCATGGTATTCTCAACATCCTTCTGTAGAACGACTGTTATATTGTTTCAGTTCACTTCTTCATCTTTGGGGAGATTGTCCAACCTTCACTGTCATATAGAAGCACTGATGTTACGCAACTGTTTCGCTGTTCCAAAGCGCCTTTGGGTTTCACTGTTTTCTTTCATCTGCTAAAGCACTTCCCAGATATTTAAATTGTAGTTTAATTTTGGTCTCTTCAATTTGTAATTTGAATGTTTTGCTGGTAACTAGCCATTCTGTAGGGACGCTAAATTTTAAATTTTAATTATAAGTTCTAGCGTTCGATGTTTCTAGGCGTACTGGTTAGCCGACTCCATTCATCATCCCAACGCTTTTGGGATTTTTGAGATGTGATTTTGATGGCTGTTGTTTTGAAATATGCGATAAAAGAAGTTTTGTTACGAATAGTGGAATAGCCTATGAAACCAGACGGAAATTTATCGTGAAAAATTGGTGCAATTTCTATACATTTTCTCATTAGTTAATTATTTTTTCTTTTAATTAAAACCGCATCCATTAAGTCGAAATTATCGTCAAATTCATTACGATAAATAATTTTATTAATGCCTTGCATGTTTTTCTTTTTTTTTTATCAATTTATACCAAGCAACCTCTACTCCTGTTCAAAAGACCGCAGAAGACTGTGAACCAAAAATTCCTTTTTGTGTTTATATATTCTTTCATTTAACAGTTCGTGACAGTTACTAGGGAGATGTGATTAAATATACTTTAATGTTTAAAAATTATTCAGTATTATTATTGTTTATGCAATAAGCATTATAACATAGAACAAATAGCTATATTATGGAAAAAGGAATTTTCGGCAATATACGCATTTTTAAAATATTTATGGTTATTTTTTAATTTTTATCAAAAACGACATTCTTTTACATGTAGTTATGGATAATATTATATATTAATTACTATTTTTTTTAATTAATAACTATTTGTGCTCAACTGTTGGCATTAGTAGTTATCTGCTGATGTGTTAAAGTTTTGGAATAATGCAATAATAAAAATTTAAATTTCATCTCTCTGATAAATGTCGCGATCTGTAAATTCATAGAAATCATACCACCGTATTTCATGTTACATTTTGTATCCATTTCTCTTTCAAGTCTTCAGTTATTATTGTTTTATTTTGCATTAGTTAAATCTCTTATTAATTTCAAGTAATTATAACAAACTGTATCTAAAGTTTAGATAAATTCTTTTCAGTTGATACTTAAGTTGGTAAGTGTTATTATATCTCCATTCTTCTTAGTTTAGTTTATTTTCATTTTTCTATTTCCATAAATTTGGTTAGCTTTTTACTTTGCATTCTAAAGGCTTAAGGCCATATCACGTTGGAATATCGGTTCTCGTACGATCATCGAAGTTACGCAACGTTGAGGCAGGTCAGTAACTACACGGATGACCCCTTTTAGAATACCAGGTGTTGTAATCTTAGATGCGTGGATGGTATAATGGATAACGGCTTGGAATCTGAGATCGGAGAACCAAGTTCTAATTCCAGTCAGGTTCGTTATATTCTACAAATACCTCTTACGGAAAAAGGCATGAACCCACATCTTCTCCCCTGCTATGGATTAATTAGTATTATTTGTATCAGTAAATTATTATTATCTTCCCAAAATTTTTACAATCTCTCTCTCTCTCTCTCTCTCTCTATCTATCTATCTATATATATATATATATATATATATGAATAAAGAAATGTCTTAGTCCGACAATTAATTTAATATATTTTTTGCTTATACCTTATTTTTATAGATACAAATATGTTGTTAATACTGTTTATTATAAACAAAGCATTTAAAAAATGTAGCTAATACTGTTTATTATAAACAGAGCATTTACTTAAATATTTGTATCTATCAAAATAACGTATAAACAAAAATATATTAATATATTATTATTATTATTATTATTAATGACAACAGACATTTTATATCGATTAATTTTATTGATCGACTTTTCCAAATAACGAATAATCCTTCTCAGATAAAGAGGAAATTCCGTCAAAAAATGCCCAAAGTTCATTTCGGATGAAATATGGTCCAATCTTTCGATTTTCCTAAGTCTTTCTATCGGTCCAGACAACACATTACTAAGCAACATAAGGTTCCTAGTAATATTAAAGACTCACACAAACAATACCAAATTACTGGCAAAATTAAATAGTAGATCTTCGAAGCAATACTCATACAACAAAAACTATCATCTATAAATAAAGAACAATTATAATTTATGAGCACGCATCTCAAATGTTTATAAAGCACACGCACACACACGTCATACCTTGCTTACGTCATAACACTTACCATTTGTTTCTACGTATACTGTTAATGAATTTTTGTATTTCTTTAAAGCATCGGCTCCCAGAGGTCCCTTCAATGAGTCTATTCAAATGTTTTCCATTCAAACCGAGGGCTACAATCACAACTGTAATTATTGAAGTCGTCCTGTGTCACCAGTTTGGAATTTCCACTTCAATATCCTTGTATTTTGATAGTTTTTTGAAGATTTTTAACGATACATTACAGCTTGCACGAACTGCCCAGTCAATAAGAACAATTATTATTATTAGCAGTAGTATTATTAGTATTTAATACTTATCATCTTATATTCCTGCATATGCATTCTTATTGTCATCCTAATAAGACAAAGTAAAAATTCTTTTTCAGCTGCCCATCTCCTCACTTATAATGAGCGGCATCTGTTTATAGCTTATACAGCCAGAAAATATTACTATATGTATGCAGCTTGTTACGAGTAGCTACACAAACAAACGAATGGTGCAACTCCTGGTTTCATGGTATTGGCATGTTTTTTATCAAGTACGATATAAAAGATTTCTACCGGCACATATCGGCGAAAAACCGTCTTGAAGCATTGCATTATGACAAAAACTTTGTCGATATCCCATATGGACATATTGAAATAATTTTGCACTATCGCAAATCCATTTTATAGCACAACGGCGAAGCATAGGTGAAGAAGACCAGCAAGGATAGCTTCAATGTCCCACAAGGATCTTTTGATGGAGCTAGGGTTTCGGAGCTTATGTGACATTTCATATTAAATAAGATCAACAAAATTGTCCATATTGACGATCACGGCCTCTACAGAGACGATGGTTTAATTACTGTAGCTGACAACAGAAAGGCAAACGACAGAATTTTAAAAAATGCCTTTAAAGATTTTCAATGAGTTTAAATTTGAAATCACGGTCGAAATGAACAAAAAGATTGTACAATATTTAGACGTGGAGTTTAACCTCTCAGCCGGTACTGTCTCTCTCTATATGAAGCCAAATACAACGGTGAAATACTTAAATTTCAAATCTGACTACCGTTCAAACATTATTAAACACACCCCGAAAGGTATCGAATGCAGACTTTTAAGAAATTCCTCGTCTAAAGAAATCTTTGAGTCGAAGTAAAAAAACAAACTGAATTTTAATTTTCAATCGTACCAACAATTGAGGAATAGAAATACAAAGAGATATTATCTGGTTTTACACCTAACTTTAATTTACAATATAGGGAAAATATTTTTTTAATTGTTTGCAAGATTACTTTTCTCAAAAACTTCTGAATTGCATAAAATTTTCAACAGAAATAAAGTAAAATTAAGTTACTGCTACACTAGCAATCTGGATATTATCATAAAGAAACACAACACGAAGAACTACAAGACGGACGCATATAGTAACGACACAGACATCAGCCCCTGAAATTGCAGGGTTAAAAGCAAGTGTCCTTTGGATGGTGACTGTAATACTGCGAGTGTGATTTATTAGGCTGAGGTGGAAGATTTTAGAGGGCAGAACAAAGCCTACGTATGATATACAGAATGCACATTCAAGAAAAGATAATAAAATCCTAGGTCTTCTTTTAAATTGGAGAACCATAGGTGTCGTACCATGCTAGCCAGTCATGTAGAAGTTTAAACAGAGATGTAATAGAAGTCCCTGTATTAGATGGAGTATTTTGAGAAGAGTAAAGTCTTGTAGCTTTATTGGTAGTGTTTGTAGGTTGTGCCAGGTGGAAAAACTGGCGATTTTGACATACTCAGACAGAGACAAGCATGTTTGGTTAAATAATTTAGACATGTTATGTCTATTTAATTTAGTTTTAATCCTTTCAAGTCCACGAATTAAATTCTTGGTGACTGTAGAAAATTCATCAAGAAATACTAGTTTTAAGTAAATTAGAACACCAAGGCACGTAGGAAATACACGTCAGTCCCTGTCAGTAAGTTTGCAAGTCCGGCCCGAATTGCTACGGTTGCTAGAGGTCTTGCCCTGTTTCTCGAATAGCATCAGTATTCTTGATATAGTAGCTCTTGAA